GAGGGGAGACTCCTTGGAAGAGAGCTGAGGCTGCTGCTGGAGGAGGTGTCAGTGGGGCCAGCAGGGGGCGCTCTCACCCTGCGGTCTGTGTGGGTCCTGATGCCCCAGTATAGTGACGGGGGACACTAGACTGTAAACAGGCGCCGTCCTTCGGATGAGACGTAAAACCGAGGTCCTGACTCTCTGTGCTCATTAACAATCCCGGGGCGTCTCTCGAGAAGAGTAGGGGTGTCACCCCAGTGTCCTGCCCCAATTACCCCCCTGGTCTTTACCCATCATGGCCTCCTGATCACCCCCCTCGCTGAACTGGCCTCATCCCTCTGCTCTCCTCCCCACTGAGAGCTGCTGTGTGTGAGCGGACTGGAGCATCATGCAGGTGGGGTACACACTGGTGGGGGTGGAGGAGGGGATCCCCATTACTGTACAGAGCTCTGAGGGGAGAGTCCTGAAAAGCGCTATATAAGTGTAAGCTTTTATTATAAGAACATTGGAGTTTTAAAATGTATGTTAAAAGTTAGTATTTTTATTTTTTAAATACTTGTCATTTCTGTTCAACCTGTGATTGAGCACAATTCTTAATCTGTCATGAGACTGCAATACAGCTTGATTGTGCTGTCTAATTCCTGAAGAAGGATCAGAACAAGAGATCAAGGAGATCTCACTCTATGATTTTTTTAAAATCCCAGAAGGGCAAGGTTTAAAAAGTGAATTCCCTTTGTACTCTCCAGCTGTGAAGCTCAGAGGTATTATCCTAGGTGCCAAAGACTGGATACAGTTTGTGAGACACCAGAGCCTGTTTCAATTTCATCACATCATGACTGAAATCCAGATTGCTGCTTAGATGGTTCAAGATGGTGTCCACAGGAGTGTTCACAGAAATGTGCAGCTCTGAGTTCAGGGATTAATGAGACCGTTGGTGTGATCCAACTGACCTCTTTCTGTTCCAGGTCCCTTTCCTCCTAAAGCCCTGAGGGTGACCTCTGTGACCTCCAGCAAGGTCTCTCTCAGCTGGGACAGGCCTGACAACATGGAGGCTGAGACACAGAAGACATTTAAGATCAAGTACAGAGATACTGGAGGAGATCAGAGTAAACCCATCAGCTGGGACACAAGAGCTACAGACATGACTGGTCTGAGTCCAGGAAG